TGATCTCATTGAAGAAATTACATGGCGACTTGCTCTCCAATCTGTGCTAGAAGAAGAAGAGCAAGAAAGGGTGAGGGAAGAAGTTGTGGAGGATGAGGAAGAAATCAAATAAGAGGAAGTTCTTGATCTTTTCCAAGGGGAGATACCACATTGTGAAGAAGGAAGGGGGGTTGAGGAAGAAATTGGCGTGGAGGCTGAGGATGAAGTTGAGATGGAAGAGGCTTGCATCGGTCCTATGTTACATGTGATATCTCCACCAAACTTCGAGGAGCTACTTGGAAAGGACCCATTTGCAATGTCTCTTTGCCAGACCAAGACCACATCAACATCAATGCCTCTTGGTGGATGCGATAGTGGTCAATCGATGATATCTTATCTGGTTTGGGGAAATGAGACAACAGCAAACGCGAAGAAGAGGTCTCGAGAGTGGAGACTTCATCTTTCTCAAGGCCACGAGCCATCTTCATCACCTATCATATCACCTGCTTGTGACTTGAGACTCCACATCATCGACGAGAACCTCAACTTCAAGGAGGTTCTGGGGTGGATCGAAACTTAGGAGCCACCGTCCGCTAAAGACGTAAAAGAAGCGCTTGTGGGGAGGCAACCCCACCAAGGTTTGTTTTCCTTTCGTTTATTTTCGGTTTGTCCACTTGGAACTATGGTTTCTATCACCCAGTGTGTTTTGCTAATGCTAGCCCCGCTGACTGGTCCACTTCCAGTCCCCCGACAATCTTTCCTTCTGGTAACATCGTTCCCCTTATATTTCCCTCTGCTCCATTGAGGGCAATGTCGAATTTAAGTGTGGGGGGGGGGGGGGTTCTTCGTATTCATTGGAACATATATATGGGTGCTTGGGGCCTAGTCTGCTGTCCAAATCTCGAGATTTGAGTGCTCCAAGTACAGATGTTTGCATGATCATATTGGCACTATGGGTTTAATTGGTGAATCGAATGGCTTTCGAATTAATGCATGACAGCTAGGACAACCTATGATGATGACTGAGACGTGTAGTAGAATTGTGTAGGAGTTCAGATTTTCAGCTGTTTGCTTGCCAAATTAACTTGGATTGATCACTTGCTCTTGACAGTCGATTATGCATCTAGTTCAGGGAATCGGAATGAGAGATAGAGCATATAGGTAGCCATGTGAGATTTGAGCCTGCTCGTTTCTTTCTTGTGCGATAGTTCCCTCTTCCATGATGTGTATCATTCACGTTGTCACTAGCTAAGATGATGGAGGCATAGGATTAGCCCACGACCAAATTGAATGTCCTGGTGTGTCATACCCCCTAGTCAGCCCCTTTGAGCCATGTACTTTTCTTTCTTTCGGTCTACAATGAAAAATCACCCTTTTGCATCTCTTAGAAGGTTCCACAGAGTGGTTTTTGCATGTTCTCTGATGTTTCTGCTACATTTAATGTGAGGGTTGGAGGTAATGCTTAAAAATTGGGCATGTGTTTGACAAATGTGCAGAGGTGATGATTCTCTCAAGAAATGAAAAATAAAATGAAAAAAAGAGAAAAAAATGAATGAAAGGAAAAGAGAGCCACTACCCGAAATTTTGAATCATGCTCATTAAGTAGTGTTTCTTAGCAGTCTGGCTTGGAAATACTAACATTTATGTGACCTCCTTCGCTCTTGTGCTCTAGAGAATATGAGTAATGCAGAATGGTAGAAAGAAAGTAAGTGATTTGATTGACTGTGATTGTGTTGGGTTGGGAATTGTGGAACCATGTGCCATGAATACTTCCACCACCTAAAAGGCCTTTTCCCCATGTCCAAAACCCTAGCCAGTCATCTGAACCTGTGTCTAAGATCTCCGGATTAGTTAGTGGTGACACCCTATATGTGAACTCTAACATTTAGAGGCTGCCTTCATGGTGAAGATACGTTAGGGATTGAGAGAATAAGCATGCGCATTTTTCGCATCAAATTGTCCTGACCCCACTGGTCGAGAGTGAGCGATTCATTTTCTCATATTCCCTATACTCTCTTACCCCGGTGAGGACCGAGATGGCTTGGTCTTGATTCTGATGTCTTGAGTTAGATGCATGCGATGATTGTCTTGGTCAAGTGGTTGAGTCAAGTCTATGTTGGTTGGTGAACAGAAAGGATTCCTCTTCCTTTACCTGATTTTCCTGCACTCGAATGTCCTCTGTGGTGGTTGTCTAAGTTGTTGTTGAGTTGTCCATTTCGCAATGATCAAAAGCTAGTATGATTCACGTGTTCTGTGCCTATATGAATTGTCCCCAATGTTGGTATGATTAAAATATTTTGAGCTTACCTTGTATCTGACTTGATTTGCTTGGGGACAAGCAAACAGTTAAGTGTGGGGAATTTGATGACTTGATAAATACATATGTTTTTTCCACCATTCTTACACCGTTTGAGTCTTGTTTCTCGTGTTTTAGGCCGATTTCAATCTAGGTTGTTCTTGTTTGTGATATTTCAGGTCCTAGTACGTGAGTGAAGGTTCGAGAATGATTTCTGGGTCGATTGGACGAAGATTGGATGGTTGGCGAGAAGCTGGGAAAGCCACACTGGCCGTGTAGGGGACCCCTTGTGGCCGTGTGGAAAGTCCAAGGAGCAAACAGGGGCATGCCTAAAATCCACACGGCTGGTGGGTTTGACCGTGTAGCGTAGCCGAAGCCACTTAAGTGAAACGCTGCGTTTTGCACACTAACACGGGCAGCTGGGAAAGCCACACGGCCGTGTGACCTGGCCGTGTGGTCGGGTATTTCTGGGTTTTAACCCAATTTCGAGCAAAAGGAGAGAGAATCGACTTTTTGCAGCAAAAACAGAGCCCTAGAGAGAGAAAGTGCGAAGAACACCCCCTAAGAGTGGTTTTGGAGCTGGGTTTCGTCAATCAAGCTTGGAAATCATCCTTGGAGTGGAGATCATCATCCCAGAGCAGATTCTTCCCATTGTTATGAGTATGACTGCTTAGTATTTTGTTTCCCTCTCTCTCTCTATGGAGTAGAACCTTCTCTCACTTGGGTATGAAGAACCCTAGTTCCATTTGATAGGGATCTTGATTGTAATGACTTGGGATTGTTATACTGTTTGGTTTTAATCGAATGATGCATGATTCATTGAATCAATTGAAGTTCGATCATCTTTTCTTGATTTATGCTGCAACCTGAGATAGATAGAATCTGATTAGGTTGTTAGAGCTTCATCATTCGGTAGTGGTAGATTGGTTATACGAGAGTTAATCAATCTACTGCTTTGTACTGGAACCCAATTCGAGTAGTGGAATAAAGAAATAAATACTTATGCAACTTAGTACGTGCTTAACGGCTTTGTTTAACTCATTTTCCTTTATCCATGTGGAGAGGCAATGCTATAGAGGTGTGTCGAAAACTTTATAAGTGCCCTCGAATCACAATTCCCAAATGGCACTTCACTCGACGAGATATTGTACTAGATAAGCAATATTGTGGGATCACGAACTGATGCTTAGTTGAATCTTTCGTATTCCCTCTGTGAGAAGGCAACACCTTTTATATCGCCTTTTCAAGTAGAACTTTTGAATCTATATAAAGATACAATTGGACCCCAATAAAAGTTAGGAGACTCGTTGGAAGAGTATAAGAACTCACAAAGGATAGTAATAAGCATTGCATTCGCACATTCCGAATGGTCTTTAGTCTCATGACGAGGACATCATTCATAGCCACAACACTAGCCTCCTTATATCACGTATTAGCGCATAGACTAGCAATTCAAAGTAAGATCACTTTTGGAATTGCTTTGGGGAGTGTGACATTATTTTTAAAAAATTATAAATTTTATGGTTCTTAATGCAAAAACAACTGTCCCCCATATGCATGCATAGTAAGATACTTTTGATGGAAATTGAACGTATAACACAATCTACGAAATTCCCCCCCCCCCCCAGACACACACTAAACATGAAAATTTTCACATTGGACTACGTAGGAAGTAGGGAGAAAATAAAACAAGAGTACCATAACATAAGCAATTCATGCAAGTTGGTTAGTTTGAAGTCTGATTTGGTTTGTGAAAGCAAAATCAAACAAAAACATAGGGTGCTTGTACAACCGCTCCTTATAACATAACTAAAAACAAACATTATCATTACACAACAAATCAAATCTCCTCACTAGAGGAGTCCCCAACATCCTAGTACTACCCACTGTGGCCTTGTGACGCTGGAGGAGGTGGATATCTACCCCTAAGGAAAGCATCAAAAGCATCAATGTGATCGCTTAGACTTTGCCACAACTCGCAGTACTCCTTGGAGATGTTATCTGGGTACTAGTATATTTAGGGGAGGTGAGAGTGCATAAGGTGTCGAGGCACCATTGATAGGAGGATCAAAACGATGCAAAATAGGCATGAGAGGGCGCGGGCTTAAGAAAAGCTTAAGAGAAAATAAGGATATCTTAGAGTGTGTTCCTTGATCCATTTCAATGTGGGATCAATGACTATCACTACAAGAAAAAACATTTTCTGCAACCATCAAAAATGGTTGCTGAAAATAAAAAAAATGGTCGCCCAAACATTTCGGCTACCATAAATGAGGGTCGCCACGATGGTCGGCAAAAGACCGTTGCCCAAATCTCTAGGCGGCGATCTAGTTCAATGGTTGCTAAAAATATCTTTTGGGAGACCATTATATATAGTTTCCAAAATGTTGCTCCGACGACTTTGTAAATATGGTTTCTAATTGAGTTTTGGGCAACCCCTAGTAATGGTTGCTTAAAGGTAAAAACTTCTACAACCCTTTGAATATCGTTGCCAATTGATTTTTACCCAACTACTAATATTGGTTGATTAAAAGAAAACGTCTGCAACTCTTTATGATGGTTGCAGATTGTTTCCATCAACTATCCAATTGGGTTGCTAATGGCATTGGTATATGGTTTCAAACAATATATGATGGTCGGCTATGATTGATAAATAGAAGTCTGGAACATTTAAGAAATATGATTATACATTTATGTAATTTGAATTGTGGACTCACTAAAGATTCTCAATCAGAATAACCATGCAACTAAAATGTCAATGGTAGAGCAAATACATTATACATGCAAACACTGGACTTGTAGCTCTATGTCTATATACTGAAGAAGCTTAAGTATCATTCTTATTTCTCAATACTAGGATCACTCCAATAGTCCCTTCTCGCCCAAGCATTCTCCAGCTCGTAGAATTCTCCAACCCATAACTGTGACACTGCATTTGAAGAACACAATAGAAAGTTAGAAACATAATTCATATTGATTAATCAAACAAGCACAACAATTGAATGCAACCAACATTACCAACCTCAGGTTCCCACAACACATCACCCTAAACTGATTTATCATAACTATCAAGCCCCATACAATAACATGAACTAAAACAATCCATGGAATTTGATGTCACTAAAGTTCGAAATAGGATTAGACATTACAGTACTAAAATCACAAATTAAATGCCAAATATAATCAAGGCATAATATTCTTCCCGAACGTAAGAGAAAAGGATACAAAGATTAAAGCTTAATACACACCAAATTAGGTTGAGCAATAAAATTGAGTTTCCATAGTAAACTCCCCATAGATCGATTTTACCATAAAACACAACAACAAGCAAGCACAAAACCCAAAATTTAAAACAGAGATTTCCAGAACACCGCAATCAAGCTAAGATTACTAGACTGTTATCAACCCACAATCAAAAATCAATTCAACCCACATACAAAAGGTTCCTATTAATTCAATCCATCTAAGAATCCCCCAAACTGAAACAAACAAAAAATAGATCCCCCACCTATGTAGATCTCGCGGACCCTGTTATCCCTCGCCGCAGGCGTGAATAGTTTCCCTTGCCATCGGTGGCTTTTCTTCCACCTTTCCCTAATATCAGACATCCTAAAAAGAAAAAAAAACATAAGAATCCCAAAATAAGAAAATGAAATATAGAGGAAATTAAAAAGGCTGGGTTAGGCTTGAGCACCGGAGGTGAGCCACGTTTTTTATGCCGGCGACGAGGCGGATAAGGCTCATCTCCAGCCGTCTTCTCGCCTTCGTCGCCCATTTCCTTGCTCGGCAGAGACTAGAAGTCGCATAACTCTACAGCAAAGACACCATCAGAACCCTAAACGACTAAAAACTCCCAAACCAACATCACTATTTTTGGAGGAACAAGCATTTGATCTCTTTCGATGATCGAACATCGAAGGAGAGGAAGGCCAACGAACTAGATCTGGATGGTAAGGGATTGAAAATTTTCATTTCAAAAGGAAACTAAGAAATCAAATCGATATGGAAGAAGAACGAGTCAAAGAAAATGGATCTATCTGGCTTATTTTGTTCGTTAATCGTTACAGAAACGATGGAAATTGAGAAGAAAAAAATGAAGAGTGGGACAAAGGGGCGACCGTTGAGGGAAAGGAGGCGAATTGGGATTAGGGTTTTTTACCCCTAAAAGTTGTTTTTATACCTTCCTTCTTGAAACAAGATGCAAAAATAAATACTGGCCTTAGTTTCGAACCCATGTCCTCTAGTTTATGGTTTCTCATTTTAGAATATCATCAACCGTTTTCTTAATAGTTGCCGAAATTATGGTCTATCACCAACCATTTTGCTAATGGTTGCTGAAGTATTGGTTTACTTTCAACCATAACCTCATGGTTTTAGACAGCAGCATATCTCCGACCACTTAACGAATGATTGTTGAAGTTTTGATCTACCGACGATCATTTTACAAGTAGTTGCACTATATTGGGTATCAACGACCATTATATGAATGGTTGCCAAAGTTTTGGTTTACCGTCAACCAAATTTACCTCATAGTTGCTAGAGAGTCACGTATCAGCTACCATTTTATGAATGGTTGCCAAAGTTTTGACATATCAGTGACCATTTTATTAATGGTTGCATTAGAGTTGGGTATGAGCAACCATTTTATGAATGGTTGATGAAGTATTGGTTTACCGTCGACCATTTACCTCATGGTTGCTAGAGAGTTGTGTATCGACAACCATTTTACGAATCGTTGCTGAAGTTTTGATCTATCAACGACCATTTTAGTAATGGTTGCATTAAAATTAGGTATCAGCAACCATTTTCTAAATGGTTGGCTAAGTATTGGCTTACTAGCAACCGTATACCTCATGGTTGCTAGAGAACCGTGTATCGCCAACCATTTTACGAATGGTTGCTGAAGTTTTGACCTATCATCGACTATTTCCCTAATGGTAGCATTAGAGTTGGCTATCAACAACCATTTTGAGAATGGTTGCTGAAACCTGGTTATATGCAACCATTTTTCTATGGTTGCCTAAAAAAATGGTAGCTGAAACTCTTTTTTCTTGTAGTGTATTGAGGTAGACCAAGATAAACCCCCCCCCCCCCCCCCCGGGAGCTGACTCGACTAAGTCTTCTTTGAAACCTCATCGGACATTGGCGCCACCAGCCACCCTGAATGCACCCTGAAAATCACGCATAAAGAGCATTAGTCACTCCCCATCTGGATGTCGATGGAAAGAGATGCAACCAAAATGTTGAACAAACCGTAACAACTAGTATATTATCCTACTTTCATAAGACTCCCAAGCCATAAAGGGCGGCTCAAGTGCTGTCACAGACTCCAAAAGGTGGTTTTTATCCTTTCTAATCTAAACTCTTATCTTGAAATGGCATCTCTGATGGGCGTTGGACAAGCGTCCATGCTGAGGGTGGATATTGGGGATGCCCAGCTTCTTGTCAAATATATTGTAGTTGTCATAGAAAGCTCACCTACCATACCGGTACTGAATGCAAGGAAAAGATGCATCCTTCCACTTTCCAAGATGCATCGAAACCAATAGCATGAAGCAGTGAAAGAGAATGAAGCCTCATATGCGGTATTAGATAAAGTCATTCCAATCTAATTCTGCCTGAGGGGCGACCGGAACGTCCTTCCAACGAATCATCTTGAGCCACGCCCTATGTTGGCGAATCGAAGCATTGGGTCGATGTCTTGAAAGGAACAGCAGGGAGAGATCACATTCTGAGGCGCCGGCTGGACGTGGTGATGCCCAACTTCATTCCTATGACTGATATCTAGATCCTCATATGTATCAATCATGATGGGCTCATCGTCATCAAAATGGACCACTCCATGGGTGTGTCGATGGGCGGCCTTGGTAGTCTGCAATGGAACCTCCTCATTGTCATCCTAGGCAATATGGGCTATTTGAGGGGTATTCTGTTGTTAGGGGCAGGTGCAGTGGCAGAGGGGGATGTTGTGATGCACTACCTCTGGTGAAGTAGTTGCATACTCGAGATCCTTAGTGTCCATTGGGGGCTCTCGATCCTCTCTCCGTGAAGAGGAGGATGAAGAATAAGAGGCTTTATCACCCCTCGTTAACTTCTGGTTAATGAAGTTCTTGATCCTGCAAACATCCCAAGACAACAAAAATATGCATTTTAATCCACCATGCACTTTATTTAACATAATGGTTTGATTTCATGCCCAAACCCCTACTTTATTTCATAAAATGCCAGCTTTGACACAATCTGTGCGAGCAGAGCACAGCCAGAGGCACGACCGTGTCCTAGGTAGTGTGCAGCTTGGCATAAATTACCAAACATGGTTTAAATAAACGTTCAAAAATACATAATGGGCAAACACATAGGCCATATGATTTGAGCGAGTAAGATCATTTCTGATACTAATGGTGGAGTAAGAATCAAAACATTAATTTTGTATGCCAAATCCAAATTTGAAAACAGAGCATACCCTAGTGAATAGCAAAATTCTCCATGGCAAGCTCCAACTTGGACTTCGCTTCGAGTTGTGGGAGATCCAAGTTTGAGCACTCTTCATCTGTGCCTCGAACAAACCGCTCCACCATGAGCTCCAATTGGCTATTCAACTCCGGTTGTGGAGTGGCACATGGTCTTGAAGAATGCCCCATGAAAGCTTCCATTGCCAACTCCAACTTGGATTTCTCCTCGACTTGAGGAGGAAAGATTTCTTCATATGGAGGAGCTTCTTGAAATCCCCAATGGTATGTTTGTTCTTCTTGGAAGCGAGGTTAATCATAGAACCCGGTTCCTTGGCTTCCACCTTCTTGACTACTCCATGAAGCTCTGGGGTACCCCATTCGAGTGGTTGTGGATACCCCCACATATTGTACAAGCCATTGGGATCCATGATTCAACCTACAAACACAAAAACAAAAAAACACAAAAAAACACAAAATTAACAAGCACAAACCACCCTTCTAAGAGAATAATGGGTCAACAAACACAAAGCACAAAATAAAACGGCTAAAGTAACGACCTAACCCTTTTTCAAATAACCTAGAATGGCTCCCCGGCAACGGCGCCAAAAACTTGACTCGATCTAAGTTCTAACTACAACATCCCGATCGACAGCCAAGTATAACCGACGACCGGGTGTAGCATAGGGCAAGCAAGCAATAAGAATTTATCGTACCACGGGGATCTAGGCTTACCCCACTTCAGGTTTAGGGTTCGTTATCTAGTCAACCTAGGATAGTGATTCATAGAATTAAACTAACTAACCTAGACTAACCACTAACCTAGCTACTTAAAAGGTGGGGAGCTCTCTTGGGTTGAACCATCCTAGGTACATTCTTTGGATCGAAGTGGGTATCCTGCTAACTCGATCGACTCAACTACACTACCGTTTGGAGATGGACTCCCTCGAGAATGACCCAGAACGGCGAATCGATGGATGGGTATTGCTCTATTCAACCTAGGGTTTCGTATATTGCTAGGAGGTAGATCAAGTCAACTCCCTCTAGTTGGCTATTCATGGATTAGTTGTACCTACCATTTTCTTTTTGGGGTTGATATCAGCGTAACTTTGCGCAGGATGCAAGTTATTGGAAACAGAACACCTTTGGTCACATAATCCACCGCCTGGGCTAAGGCCTTATTTTTTCTAATTGTGTGCCACGTGGGGAGTTTGAAGTTTCCAACTTGTGATATGCAGCTACAAATTTGGAGTGGATGTGTCTCACATGTGTAATCATGTTCAGATTGTGAGTGAGAACCTTGGAGCTTCTCGTTTTCTACATTTTGAATTTCGTGATTGATTTGGGCCTGTCGCCCGACACAGTTTGACTCGCGGTGGTAACCGAGTGGCCCTTTATCTATATAGTGGCTTCCCTTAGCTCTGAGCGTGGCACCGCTTTTTTGTTCTGCTCTTTTTTTATAGAGAGAGATTACTCAGGGGGTTTGCTGGCTAACTCCACTTCTAATTCTATTGTGCGAATAATCATCAGAGCTTCAGGTCTTTTGATTATTCGGGCGCGCCAAAAACTTAGAATTCTAATTAGCGTAGGGTGCAAGTGAAGGCGGATTCATCCCACCACCGGTACTTTCGGATGTGATTGATTTGGTTACATTTTCTCCTATCCGTCACAGAAGCTTGTTTTTGTTTTGCCAGAAATCATAAGTACTGATTTTTTTTCTTTATTCAAAATCGTTAACTAGCCGCCTACAAGCGATTGGTTAAGTCTTTGTTCTTAAATGATTTAGAAAAATGGTAGGTTGTTCGTCCACTCTCCTTTTCTACATACAAAATTTATACGTATAAAATTGAAAGTAGCCGGACAATATACGATAGGAGTGACCCGAAAACCCCAAAAGGGGGGCTATAAGGAGATTATCTCCCTCCTAGGTCAAAAGCTCAAGACATGAAAATGGGAACCCAACTCTCCTTCTTCTTCCTTCTGCTGCTGTATTTATACCCAGATCGAGGCCAGTTCACGGCCTCTGTTCACGGCTGTGAACACCTTAACATGTCCGTGAACTCAGCGTCATCTCCAAAACGCACCGCTTCACTCTCCAAGGTTCACGGTTTGCACTCAAATTCACGGTCTTAGAGACCGTGAACTGCCCGCTCGTCAGTAACCTCTGGAACCCTCCTGGACACCTCGTTGTTCACGATTTGTGGTTACAGTTCACGGCCTTAGAGGCCGTGAACTCCAATGCCAGGCCGTGAACTGCAGCTGATTCCTCCTCTTTGCCAGGTCTTCTCTCCATTTCTTCTAACTTTCGACTCCGGGGTTGGTTTCATCTGTTAGGATCTGAAACACACTGAAACACACAAAACCTAGCGTAAAATCAACCTTTTAGGTGTTCAAATGTCACAAACGTCAAGTGGAACGGGGGTAAAAAGTGTTCAATTAGACCCGAATCAATGTCCTCTACCAGTGCTAAGTAGTTTACTAGTCTGCTTTGACCTGAAAATGTACATAACGGTATCAAAAGTGTATCAATTGTAAAAAACCAATCTTAGTGTTGCTAAAACACACTTGAACCAATCATAAAAAAAATTCAAGGTATTGTCACGATAATGATAGGAAATGAATGCACTTTGTATTATAATATGGGGGTCTAGAATAGACAATGTGTGGGGAGTGAATAACATTGTGATCATAGTATGCAGAGAATGAGATACTTATAGGGAGGGAGACCTTTTTTCTACAAGAAATAAGTATTTGACCCTCTTTTTCCTTTTCTTTAACAAAAAGGTTTTTCGGGTTAATTACATGGTTGGTCACTGAGATTACAAAAAACGTTCAAGTTTGGTCACTCAAAATATTTAAATCCATTGGTGGTACTTCGGTTTATTGAAACCGTTCACGTTTGGTCACTCTCCCTCCAACTCTGTTAACTTTAGCTGATGTGGCAGTCAACTCTCAAAGTTGACCGTTAACTTAGTGATGTGACAATTAAAAAATAATAAATAAAATTTAATATATTTTAATGTCCAACTCATTTCAACTCGCTGCCCGTCAGCTACCAGATTCTTTCCACCGGCGAGGTGGTGGAGTTGCTCAACGAATCGAACGGGTTCGATTCGACTTTCGATTGGGCAGGTGAAGATTGGACCGACGACGACACCCACTCGGGGAAATCAAACGGGCACCGCGTGGACACCGTCACACCGATGGGAATTCCACTCCCGAACAGCAAATGACGTTGTTTCGTGTTTCGTATCCGTTTCCGATTTCGTTGGCGCTAAGGAACGGATGTTCAAGAAGCATCACGGCGTTCCATCTCGCCGCGGGATCCTTCACGAAGCAATTGGACAGGAAATCCTTCAATTCCTCCAACGATTCCTCCGGGACAGCCGGCGACTCGTCGCCGGCCCCGATTCGGATCAAGAACAAGAAGATGTTCGTCCCAGGCTTGTAATTCCACGTGGGCTTCCTCGTCAGCATCTACACGACGGCGCAGCCTAGAGCCCAAATATCACACGGCGGCTCATAAACGTTCTCGTTGACAGATTCCGACGCCATGAACAGAGGAGTCCCACGAATCTCAACTTTCTTCTCCCTCCTCCCCTGTTTTTCTTCCGCTTCCCATGTTTTTTTCGCCATTCCGAAATCCGCAATCTTAACTTCCCCATCACCGAAAACAGGGGAAGAGGAGTTGAAGGAAATACTGGAAAAAGTGGAGGAGGCTGCCGATAAAGCTGCAAAGGCGGCCGACGTTGCCCAACCCGTTCTTGATAATTATAATATTAATTTATTTTTTTATGGTAAAAATGAGTTGAACATTAAAATAGATTAAATTTTATTTTATTTATTATTTTTTAATTGCCACATCACTAAGTTAACGGTCAACTTTGAGAGTTGACTGCCACATCAGCTAAAGTTAACGGAGTTGGACGGAGAGTGACCAAACGTGAACGGTTTCAATAAACTGAAGTACCACCAATGGATTTAAATATTTCGAGTGACCAACTTTAACGTTTTCTGTAATCTCAGTGACCAACCATGCAATTAACCCAAGGTTTTTCCTTTTCAAGTTAGTGAAGGAAACGGATTTCCTTTTTGTGTTTAGGTCGCCTAGGGGGCTTATGCTGGTCAAAAATCAATTTTCCTCAAGTGTAAATCGTGGTGGCCCATATTTAAAATCGGCGTCCCATGCGACTCAATTGAGTGCCAGTTTTAGATTCTTTCCAATGTAATAGGTAAAATCCAGTGTAGACGGATTCCGAATCAAATACAAATTCTACCAGTTTTTTAAATTGACGAATTGGGTTGAGTATGGTCTCACCCGCTTTCCACCCGACACCCATAAAGCAATATGATGTTTTGTCTCTAGCCATATAATCAAATCATTTGGATAATTTCGTAGATGTTATTAGTTTTGGTGACAATATGAAAGTATAGTAGATTTCGGTAATATAAAAATATAGGTGTTGAGGTGAATTATATGCGGTTGTGTCCCACAGACATCTACTGATTTGAAAATTGAAATGAAGTTTCTCTTCCACATCGCAGCGAGCATGTCAGTGGGTTTTCGACAAGTCAATCCCTATGTTGGGTCTGGGCTTAGAAGCCATCCCTACTTCGGATAGCTGGAAAAATAGTGGATTACCGCGACGACTGTTAGAGCTCTACGCCAACCCAAACCGCACAGCATACCATCGTAGGATTAGCAGCTCAGCCAAGAACTCGTCCTTACATATTTGAGTCGGTTGAGGCAGCACCGTGGAGATATGCTCATCGTAGAGATGTGTCTGGGACATAGCTTCTCCACGATTCCCACTAGGGGATCCACTTCCTAGAAGTGAGGCTTATAGTATTGTTTCGTATGTATCAGAATGGGAAATCAATAAGAATTGAGAAGGCAGACAATATTTCAACTAACAAAATCCAAGGTCAATTCCTCCTGAAGAGAACACGAACACCAGATCATGATCCTAACATCAGCTTGCATCTGGAGAGCACACAGCATGACAGCAGTACCATGACCGCAAACTGCAAACACAACTCCGAATGGCTGCGTTCTGTATACACAGCTTACCAAGAGGAATCAGAGCAATCAAATGGCAAGAGTTCGCTATATCTCGACCCTGCACATCATGTTAATTCACTTGGATCCTGAATATAGTTTTCAAGAGAAGTGCGCGAAACATGACATTATGAACTGATGCACGACAAGGCCAATCAATATACACGCATGAACATCCTGGAAAACGAACTCATAAAACTTAGTGCAGAACCAACCCTGTGCGCCCGCTTCATCAGATCACAAAGCATGCCATGCCAGTTACTGTGCTCTGTTCTGAAAGCCAAGAACCATTTTATACGAGTAGTTCAAACTCCAGTTCTAAGCTTTAGACAACAAGTACAGGCACGGCACTTTATAACACATAACTCTAGACTCCAGTTCTAAGCTCGGACCAACACTAAAAGGAGATAAGCCAATACCTACTACTCAAGTTTCTTTCACATTATTTAGCACAAAGGAAACTAGTTGTTACATCTGAAGAAAAAGAAGACATCAAATCATTCCAGAACCACAAGTATCTAAATCTCCCCTCAAACCAAAATTAAAAACAGCCAAACCCCTTCTACTCGAGGTCGAAATACAAGAACAACTTACAGTTCAACAGACTAGGGAGTGCACGGAAAGTAATTTACAAACCACATAGTTTACTTTCTGAAATTGCCCTCCTCCATAATGTCTTTCTTCCCAAAAGCACTACAAGAAGCCCCATCTTATTTCTCCATTTGTCACAGAATCACCTATACTCTCACGAAACTGCTACCTCCACAATCGTACCATAGATAAATTAACTATGAAAGCTTTCAACAAAGGCATTTGTGAGTCCAAATGAGTGCAAGAACCGGAATGAAAGCATATGGTGCGATAGGAAGTCTCACAGCTTCAGCCCACCAGGCTACTTCCGGGACTGCACGCCATATTGCAAAGACAGCCTGCCTAATATCCCATCCATAACCATATAGCACCAACCTCCACACTAATCAGTGCTGAGCCCATTGAATAGACTTTATGTCTATTCCTTCCTTCACCATTTCATATAACGGGCTCATTTCCCTCAGCTTCTCGACTTGCTCCACTGTAAGCTCCACAGCCTTATCAATCTCTTCCTCGGTAGTAAACCTCCCAATTCCAAACCTAATTGAAGTATGTGCCATATCTTCATCCACGCCCAACGCCCTCAACACATAAGAAGGTTCCAAGCTGGCACTGGTGCATGCACTCCCACTTGAAACTGCCACCTCCTTCAGCCCCATCAACAAGCTCTCACCTTCAACATAAGCAAATGAAATGTTCACGTTCCCAGCATATCGCCTCTCTTCACTCCCATTCACAACTATCCCGTCAAGTTTCGATCTCATCCCCTTGAGTAACCTCTCTTGCAAACCACTGATTCTCTTATCATCATACTCCATCTCCTTGGCAGCAAGCTCACATGCTGCACCCATTCCCACAACCAGAGGAGTGGGCACTGTCCCACTACGTATCCCTCTCTCTTGCCCACCGCCATTCATTTGAGGCTCCACTCTGATTCTAGGCCGCCTCCTCATATACAAAGCTCCAATCCCTTTGGGGCCATATATCTTATGCCCACTGAGCGACATCAAACTTACATTCCATTTATCGACATTAACAGGAATCTTACCTAAAGCTTGGGCTGCATCTGTGTGGAATGGAATTTTGAACTCCTTGCAAATCTGCCCTATCTCCTCCATCGGCTGAATCACTCCAATTTCATTATTCACCGCCATGACAGAGACCAAACCAGTATCGGGCCTGATAGCAGCTCGCAACTTCTCCAAGTCCACAAGCCCATCGGCACCGACCGGAAGGTAAGTGATGTCGAAACCTTCCTGCTGAAGATGGCGACAGGAATCCAAGACGCACTTGTGCTCTGTCTGAGTAGTGATGACATGCCGCTTCTTCTCTTTGTAAAACTTCATCACGCCCTTAACGGAGATGTTGTTCGACTCCGTCGCTCCGGAAGTGAAGATTATCTCCTTCGGCGAGGCTCCGATCAACTCCGCTACCTGACTGCGAGCCGTCTCCACCGCCTGTTCCGACTCCCAGCCGTAGACGTGAGTTCGGGAATGAGGATTCCCGTACCTCCCGATGTAGTACGGGAGCATCGCGTCCAGGACACGCGGATCCACCGGCGAGGTTGCCTGCATATCCAGATACAACGGCCGAGCCGAGATTTTCACGCCCTTCATCCTAATCTCCCCGGTTGGATCTTCATAGGGTTCTGTGGCCGTAGCAGAAGCAGTCGCGGCGGCGGAGGTAGAGAAGCCACGAAGAGCAGGAGCGGAAGCGGTGGCTTTCGCTAGGGTTCGGCGGAGGTTGGAAGCTAGAAGCTTCGAGGCCATCGCGAAAAATTTTGATGGAAGAGCGTAATGTTCCCTTCTCAGCCACTTTTCTATGCTGCGAAGGGAAATAAATAACCTGCCAATTGCGATTTCGTTCATAGAAATTTACATACCATCATCAAATTTTATACAAGTCTTAAGTCGGTCATTGAAGTTTGATTTTCATATTTCCTGATCCAAACTTTAAATTTAGTATCCAAATTGGCAAGTTCTATGTCAATCTCATATTGAATGCGCAAGCCTGCACGTCACCGACTCGGTTGGGACCAATGACACATGTGGTGGTTTGATAACAGGTAAAATGTTTTTGGAAATCAAAACGACGTCGGATCACTTCGACGAAGTTGTTTTAGTATTTGTAGAAATTGTTTTAATTACCGAAATAGATGTAGTAAGCTGCTAACACTTTTTGGTTTAATTAATATTAAATTTTTTAAAAATTATTTACGAATCAATGCCTCACAGGAGTGGATTGGAAAATGGCAGGGTACGGTCTGGTTCGGAGTAGACCATATACACAATCTATGGTCCAGACCGAGAGCCTGGGATATAGACCATGGACTAGACCATATACTATACCGTCCAGATCAGACCACGCCTTTGCGGTACGGTACGGTACGGTCTGGACAAGGCAAAATGTTTTTGGGGAATCAAAACGATGTCGGACCACTTCAACGAAGTTGTTGTAGTATTTGTAGAAATTGTTTTAATTATCGAAATACATATAGTAAGATGTTCACACTTTATTTTTTATTTTTGGGCTAAACCACTAGGAAACCCGAACTATTAACTTTGTGTCATTTGTGTCCTAAAGTATTCGATACGACATTTGTGTCCTAAACTATTTTTCCGTTAGAGTTGACCGACATTGACTGTTAGTTTTTAACAGAAAGTCTAGTCAGCGCTGATGTGGCATCTAAAGTGGAATATATAATATTAATTTATAATGATTTTCCATATAAAAAATGAAAATTCCAAAATTCCAATAAAAAAACTAATTGGATATTTCCCATTCTCTCCTTAGTCCCTGACACCAAAAAGTCTAATCTCCTTCTTCTTTCCTCTACCCTTTCTCCGAAGCTCTCATCTCCGCGGCAAAAATGGCGGGTCGAAAACCGGACAACAAGGGCCACGGCGCCGGCGTAGTCCCGTGCGATTTCTGCAGCGACCAGCTCGCCGTTCTCTAATGTCGAGCCGACTCGGCGAAGCTCTGCTTGTTCTGGGACCAGCACGTCCACTCCGCTAACCTCCTCTCTCGGAAGCACATCCGCTCCCAGATCTGCGACAACTGCAGCTCCGAGCCGGTCTCCGTCCACTGCGCCACCGATAATCTGGTCCTCTGCCAGGAGTGAGACTATGACGCTCACGGCAGCTGCTCCGCCTCTCACGATCGCGCTTCCCTCGATGGCTTCTCCGGCTGCCCCTCTACGCTCAAGCTCGCCAAGAATTGGGGCTTCGATTTCGCTGAGAAGGAGAAGTCGGCGGTGTCGCTGAAGGCTCCAATTGGCGGCGGATTGCAGGATTGGATGGCGCAAATCGAAGGTTGGAAATGCGTTTCATAGGACAGATTTAGCTTCCCGGATTTGACAGTTCCCGTCGGCAACACCCCGATTTTCAAAGAACAAAGGCGGAGATGAATTGTCTTCTCCGGTGGCTGGGCCGCTTTTGGTTGAGGACTGAAGAACAGAGGCGGATGTAGGTAGCTAGGCCGGTTTCTTTTACTTTTTTATATTTTTAAAAATTAAAATTTTAATAAAAAAATAATATTTAATGATGTGGCATCTACATGGCATCTATTGTTTTGCAACGTCAGCAAATCTGTGATGTCCGTTTGGTCAACGTTGTGACACAAACTATCATACGTTGTGACACAAATGTCGTATCGAATACTTTAGGACACAAATGACACAAAGTTAATAGTTTGGGTTTCCCAGTGGTATTAGCCCTTTATTTTTTTTACAAAAGATAATCATATATTGATTGGAAAAATAGGCAGTTACATCCTGGAATTCAGCCATGCCTGAAATCGTACACTGAATCCCCCATCATTGTAAAATATTGGATGACCTCTTCAAGAGTAGAACCCATCCGATTATCTCTACATCTTCGCGAAGGATTTTATCAATGACTACTTGGGCATCACCCTCAAATCTCATCTCCGAAAAGCTTTGTCCCACACACCATGAAACAGCTTCCCGAAGAACAAGCAATTCTACCACCATCGGGTCATCAATCAACAGGAACTGAACTCCCTTTACCATGAGGATCTCCCTAGCATGGTTCATAATCACCATCCCACCTGCGCAGTGCGACCCATTCCTTGTCGCCCCATCCCACATACACACTGCCACAGTAGACCCCTCAGGACCCAAGGGCACCATATTGGGGTTGGGGGACTGGAGTTGATCCACCGACAGACAGACCCACTATTGGACCTGCTGGTTATACTGTCGCATCCAAGCTGGTATCCCAAACTGTTTTCCCTAAAAAGCCACCCAGTTTCGAGACCTCCAAATTCTCCAAAGAACAGCAACCACCGTCATGACCAGTGATGGTTGAGTGATCAGAGTCAACAAGGTTTTCAGGAAGAGAGGAAAGGTGTGGCGCGACACTCCTTCTCCTAGGTCTCCAAGTCCGGTAAGATCCCAAAGGGCACGAGCAACTGGACATTCAAGAAACAGATGTTCCATAGTCTCAGCTTCCGCCCAACATACCAGACACCTTGGGAGGACAACAACCTTCTTTTCAATCAGAGCCTCCGTTGTGGGAAAAAATCTATGAAAGATTTGCCAAACAAACACTTTCAGCTTTGGGGGAATATTTGCCTCCCACAATTGGATCCAACTAGCCTTATCCATCCAACTAGCAAGAGATCGCCACCTCCCCTTCAGCCTATAGAGAAGAACCGCAAAGTGATATGTTGATTTAACAGTGAACACCCCATCAGGAGTAGCATGCCAGATCAAACGATCCTCAATGTTCTGTCGAGGCAGAGGGGTAGATTTGACAGCTTGACAGGTCATAGGATCAAACCATTGACTAAGTTTCAAATCATACCAACACCCCTCTCCAAGACAGAGCACCTCAGCCACCAGTGGATCTCCTCCAATAGGTAGTTGACACGCTATGACACAACTCCTAACAATGGCCAAGTGTAACCAATGAAAGGGATTGCAGTATAGTGGCTCAAGTAATAAATATCGAATCAACGGGTCTCTAGAGTTACTATTACTCGGCTTCAGTTCATTATCTAGCAAATCAGATTAAGATAGAACAACTAAAACTACTCTAGCAAACTACAGTTAAAGTTAATCTAATTACAAGTTGGGAACTCACTTAGGTATGATTCCCCCTAGCCACTAGCCAGATTAATGATTGATGATTTCTAACTTGTTTCACTTCCATTCACAATGCGGAGAATCCTTGACTAGACCTTGAGTCTCGACTAAAGGAACAAGGCCCTCTTGAGTCAATTGCCTAGAGGGACGTATCCTTCTCTAGAACAACCGATCAAGGCGTTCTGAAATAGAATCCCTCTATCGAAAGAGGTTCTCAATCGATACAAAGCAGTGAATCAATCCTCGACTAAAGCAATTGATCCAATACTATCAATCTATGGTGCTCTATTGACCTAATCAGGTATTCGCTCTCATAGGATCAAAGTAGAATCAATAATTTCGACTAAAGCAGAATTGAATCATGAAAACGTGCATAGATTGAATATGAACTCAAGATTATCAAGTAGAAGTACTCATACAATCATCCAATCAAACAAACATAGCTAGGGTTCCTCAAAACCTAAGTGAAGGGAAGTTACTCCATAGAGAAGAGAGAGACTGCAGTAAGAATCTTCAGATGATCAGTCTTCAAGCCCGGGCTTGTTCCTCGAGCTTCCAAACAGAAAAAATCCTCCAATTCCACTCCAAGAATGCCCTCAAATTGCCCTCCCTCTCTTTGGTTCGTCCGTTGGGTGTTTGGGATCCAAAACCCAGCTCTCCCTCTCCAAAAATCGCAAAACAGCTTTTATACCCGCTGAAACTCGCACCCCCTACTTGCATGGCCGTGCAAATTGAGGTTTTAGCCGTGCAAACCCCCTGGAAAACCCACACTGCCGTGCAGAATTTCACACGGCCGTGCACAATTTCCAGCATGCACTCCTAAGCTTTGTTGATCTCGTTTGACCTCCGATTCAGGTGCCGTTTGATCCCAGATGCTCATAGTCTTGTCCTCTTTATTTTCATAAAAAGCTTTCATGACTATTTGTCAAAAAAATGAGGTATAAATCCATTCTTTCTCAAGTCATTCCCGAGTTTCTCACCCCGAGTCGCCAATTGATCTGCTATTGACTTGAAACTTGCGCCTAGGCTTCACTTTACATGCTAGGACCAGAAATGTGACAAATGAACACAACCTAGTGTAAAATTGTCCAAGAAATCAAAAAATCAAGCCAAAATGATCATGAAACGAGGGTGCAAACATGTGCAAATACGACGTTATCAAATTCCCCCACACTTAACCGTTTGCTTGTCCCCAAGCAAACCTGACTCAAACCAATGCAACTCTCCAGAAATTTATAGAAACAGGCAACAACGATCGTCAGTAGAGGATTTCCTAGATCATTAAGCAGCTTACGAGGTCAACCGACGCACAAGTCATCTCCTAGCTTCTTCGGCGAGAACGCTAGTCTCGAGTCGGTATCATGGAAAATAGTGATTAGAGGACAAATGAATCGTGGACGAAGGGACTCTCAAAAACAAAAGATCATGGACTCATATTTTTAAGGTGCTCTATTTTCTTCTTGAAGATGGTTGGAACCCTTTTTTTTCCTTTTTTCTTCTTGTTTGTCTTGTTTTTCTCTTTTTTCCAAAAGTTCCAACCTGTTTTTTTTCTCTCCAGAAAACGGGGCTCCCACCTAGAAAAGGTTTTGAGGGATCCCGGCTCTTACCGGCTATGCCGGGAGCGGATGTCTCGAGCCTCGTGCGGGGAAAGAAATGTAAGGG